TGTGAAAAATATCTGGCTCTTTAGCTACTAAATACTCCACTGTGTTTTTGCCAGCTGTGAGACTGTGACACTGAATCTGCAGAAAAACAGGAAGAATTGAAAAAATGGACAGCATTTGTTGGGGGTTCAGTTGGTCAGTAACAGCAAGTGCTTGAAACCCAGGAATTGGCATTACTACGCAATTGTTGTTTCTCTGCAGTCTCAGTGTAGTCCACCTACATGGATTTTCTTGCTCTTTTATTACTAGCCCGGGGATCATGACATTCACTTGACAACTTCAGTTCAGATAGAAAAAACTGCAATTGTGTGTTTTTGGTCCTTCAGCACTGACATAATATCTCTGGATTCTGTTTTTAATAAACAAATGACCTGCAGTACAACCTAACCACCTCCCGCTGTCTGGTGTTTATCTCAGTGTTATTGAGCAGCACATTCAGACATCACCTCACAGTTTGTTCTGTATACGGTGAAAAGCCCTCCATTTTCATCCTCACTCTGTCTTCCTGTCCATACTGTTCTTTAATCTGCAAGCTTGTTTGCTCCCAGTGGCCCATTTTCGTTGCAGTGTGGTTTTCAGTCGAGCAGAGCACAGAACAGTTTGCCTATCTGATAGCAGGGATAAATCAACGACTTTCCTCTGCTGCTCCTAGCGGTAATGCTGCTGCCAGACCAAAACTTTGATTTTAGAGCCAATACAAGTCGACATGGTACCACAGGGACCCAAACAACAAATGGCTCTGGAAGAAACAGAAAGTCCTGCCAGGAAAACAAAAAAACCACAACAGGTGTTAGACATTAGCTGCCACTTTGAGGGTTTCCTGCACTGCATTGGTCATACGTGTACATTACGTAAATAAACAGCGTGTCGGTTTTGTGGTTGGGACCCATAGCATTGTGTTTGAATCAAGTCTCAAGTCCCTAATGAAGTGAACTGCCGTAGTTACCAAAGTCATCTACTAGTCAAAAATCTAACATTCGGGTCATCAAAGCCATGTGCGAATCACCAAAGCATTGCTGGAGTCATTGGTGTCGTGTCTGTTGCACAAAATGTCAAGTTGCCGAAGTTGAAAGTTTTAGTATTTGATTTAGAGTTGTCAGTCTCAGCTTTCAATGAATCCAGGCTTTAAAAATAAATAATTTTTAATC